ACACTTTAGGACCCTGGGAATGAGACTAAACACTAAATTATTTTCAAGTTTCCAACCCAAAGTTTCTTTATATCTATCTTGCCTCTGATTGGTTGTTTTTGTGACGACATTCTTGCACATGCCATTAGGTGTGCTAGAACGAGACAGACAAACCTGATTTTTTCAGATTACTTGGCAGAAACTCCTTTCACCCCCTAAAACTCACAAACTTTCAAGGATTTCAAGGACCTGTGGGAGCTCTGCTATTTAGCTATTCAGCAGACGAACAACATTAGCATTGATGTAAAACCTGTTACATGTCCGTCCAGTATTCCCTTACGGGAAATATCTGGGTCTTCAGCTGCCACATTCTCCACTATATTCACCAGCGAGTCTCTGACTGTGTCAGGTAGATGAGAGAGTTTGCCGGCTGTTGCTCAGGAGGTAGAGTGGGCTGTCCCCTGTTTGAAATGTGTGACTGTGACATGTAGTGTACAGAGCTTTGAGTGTTCGGAAGAATAGAAAGGCGCTATACAAGTACAGTGCATTTACCATTTAAAACCAAAACAATGAGCTTAAGGCAACCAAAATGCTAAGTTGAGCTGAGGGGAACGGTGCTGGTGATAACTCTGTGTGTTTGTAGCTAGAAGCAACAGCTTTACCATTACACACTGATTAATAAAAACAATAAAATAAAATATACTGATTAGTGCCGTTTGGAATAGCAGTATTTGGTAATTCCAAGTTTTCTGCCAGTCTCAAAATATCTCTCTCTCTCGCTCTCTCTCTCACACACACACACAGGAACAGCTTTTCCAAACAATGGCAGGTGACATAATAATTTGGGGGGGTGGAGGCCATTCAGTCGCAGTACAGTACAATATGAGGCCTCTGGCTAGCTGCTAATGAGCGCTGGCCCCATTCTGCCTCAGCATACACACAACAGGAACAAGGACCTCCTCTCGGCGGCATTGTTACATTCAGGGGCTGGAATGAAGCGCACTGTAGCCAGCCCCTCGGCTGCATTGTTAAACTTCATTCAGCCATCCAAATGACAGTTTACTGTTTCTTGTATACAGAAACCTGTGTGGATACTGACAGTGCAGAGCTTTACTCTCCACTTTGTATTCAAACTATACTGACAGTGTCTACATTTGGGTAAATCTGTTAAAAAACTTTCACGTTTCAGTGCCAATACAGTGTTTTCCAATACAAGTGTTTCAATAGCATTGTTTACCATTTCAGTTCAGGTTTTGTTTTTAATGTCAGATTTTATTTTTTAATGCCAAACTGAAATGTCACTGTTATGTTATTGTTTACAGGAGGGTGTCTTTGAAACAAAGGTTTAAAAAGTTCAAACATAAAAAGCAGTAACATTTGACCTTACCAAACGAGCCTGCAGATAAACCGGAGAAACAATTAGTTGTAGACAATCTGTGAATTTCAGCAGAACTGCAACAGACCCAGTAACAGACTTCCCTGCTAAGCCGCTGTAACAGACTTGTTTCCAACTAAATATCACACGACTCAAGGACTTGTTTCAGAAGAGGGGTGTTTGGACTACCCTGCTATACACCTGCTGTCACTGCAACCCAGCCCTGGATAAAGAGCAGAACATGGATGGATGCTAACAGACAGAGCTGGTGAGGCTCATGTGTCCATCAGCGATAGGTGCGAGTTGTGAACTTTTGCAGTACAGAACTCGTGTGTTGGGGTTATTTTTCACTTCACAAAGAAAGGGTCCCACATCAAAGAATAATGTCATACTGATCCTGCAGCAACACAGAAGCATCAAAAGAAAAATAAATACTTAAAAAATAGACAGATATGTTACGCTGTTTTAGTGGTAATTAAATCATAAACAAGGTGAGTAGAAACATTACATGTCTAAGTCATCTCTTTTGAAATTTGGATTTTTAGGATACATAAAACAGTAATACTTTAATTCATGCCTTTACTGACACTGAAATGGGTTCTTTGCATTTTCTCAGTGCTTTGTACGTGACATCTTCCACCACTTCTCTTTTACCCACTTTAACTCATCAACCACACACTGACAAACCTCATGCTTTTAACACTTATTTTATTGCTTTAACAGAAACATCCTCAGCATTGAAACATCATTGAGTACTGTCAGAAACACCCCACCCCCACCCCCCACCCCTTTTCCTATCCTGGCTGTGACTGTTAGTCTTGTCAGTGTCTTTTAACTTATACTGTTGATTTTACAGCCCCAACTTTACTGTTTTGGTTCACTCTCACAGCTTTCATCAGCCTCATTTTCAGATGCAGCAGGCAGCTGTTTAAAGTAAAAAGCTCTAAAATCCACTGTTCATCCACTACCTGCTCAGCACCAAACCACAGGCAGACACAGTTAGAGACAGCCGTTGATCACAGTGGAGCATTTGTCATTGTAAAGGACCAGATATTTCCCTAGAGACTTTCACTGTGATAGCTCACATTAGTGTTAGTGCTTGTTCCAGCTGACCTCTGCCAGACCAGCATAACATCAATTAAAAGTCAAGTGTCAAGATTGAAAAGTCATTGACAAATACATCAGAATACTGAAAAATAGTTAACAGTAATAGTAATAACAGATTAAAATAATTGTGTTTACTCTCATGTTGGAATACATATGACAAACCCTGTTCCAACTTGTTTGGGAGAGGAAGTGAAGGCGAATGGTTTCATCTGATCTGGGTAAACTGTTGGTTCTATACAATACTCCTTTTTCTCCTCCTGTGGGACTTTGTTGTAGCAAATATTTCCACGCTCCCAGATCTCAGCATTTTGTGACTAGCATGCTATCATAACTGATAGGAACTATGCATCAGAAACAGTGCCCACATTGTAATAAACTGAAATTACCATTTAAAGCCATATTCGCACCATTATCAGGGGACCTCATGTAATTTTACAATTACCCCCCCATGTCTGTCTTTCCTGCGGCACGTTCACATGGGATAAGCGCAGTGTGTATTTTACTCTAATTGACAGACATTATCCACCGGTCGACATGGTAATGACGCTCCTGCTGCTGAGCAACAGACGTGAACGTGCATATCTGTCTCATTTTAAAGCAGCGTATGGTTTCTGCTGCAGTTCAATAAAGCCACATTCATGACCTCTATGTGTCTAAGTTCTGCTCTGTTACATTAAAATACCAGTTTGATACTTTGCAAAAATAAAAAAATACGACCCTAACTCACAAAGGTGCCGATTCGCACGGGACTAATATTATCGCATGACCTCTGTGTTTGAGGTTGTACTATCTGCAGTGGAAAACAAAATGTGTTACAGGTATTAATGTGTATGAATATGAATATGTATGTGTACTGGATGAAAACAAACTGTATCACACAGTTTAACATTGTTTTCTTTTAACATGTTTTATGTCTGCTATTATAAAGGGATGGGATCTTCAAAATGTGGTTGTCTTTTCAACATAGATTAGCCTAGCACATAGTATATTTAAGTACAGGAAAGGAGGAAGTTGACCAAGCTTGCTCAACTGTTATTGGAACACAGAGCACAAAGGGGCGGGGCTTAGGAAGCGTCAGTCACAACCTCTTCAACAAAGAGGGGTTACTTTGTTTAATAATTCCCATGATACTGTGAATGAACTAATTCTACATTGTTGAGAAGATTCTGCTCATGTTAGGTCAGTCAATAAAAACATGTCTTTCCTGTGCTGCTTCTATGCTGGCACTGTTGACATAACTGTGAATAAAAAGCAGGCTATACTATATTTCATGTCTGAATTGGGCTTCTGAGAGAGAATTATAGTTGACAACACACACACTAACTCCCCAGAGATAAAGCAAGTGACAGCATGAGGTCTGAGATCTCTTCAAAGGGAACCTGTGGCCCAGCTGTGGGGGGTTACTCAAACCACTATAATAATACATTTTATTTAAAGGGGGGGTAAATAGTGTCTTTTGTCTGTATTCAAAGTCCCACCTGCAAATCACATTAGCTGTATTATTCTATCAGCACCTGATAGTCAAATTAAGTCTGCAGCTTCAAAGCACAAACATCAGCATCAGTCCCACTGCTATCTGCATATCTGCATCTGTGCCGTATGTGAAGGCATCCCAAAACAACATCACATTCAAGCCATTTACCATCTGAAAGTCAGAAAACAAGTAGCAGAGAGAGAGCCCTCCTCTGACTGGTAATAACATTCGTGCATGAGATGATTTAACTCCAAATCTGAATTCTCTGTGGATCCGATGGTGACATGGATGTGGTGTAAATGTGGTAGAAAATGGGGAACGTTTTCAGCTGGTGGCCATATATGAGCCAGACTGTGATGCAGTGAATGTCATCCCAGTGTCGGGTGAGAGAAATATCTGCTCTGTGATGGAAAATACTACTGTGGTTCCTGGGGAGTGGAAAAATCACGGAAGCTGGGAATGCAACAGATTTCATACAGTGTTGTGTAACTTCTACAGACAATAATGTGATTTTATTTCTCATCAATAAATGATATCAGTGTTGGGTTAGATTTTGTCTCACTCTAAATTACCATTAAAGCTGCAGTAGGTCATTTTTATAAAAATTGTTTTTGTCATATTTGACAGTATTACATGAGACAGTGCAGTATAATAAGAAGTAAAGCTGCAAGCAGCATTGGATGGGGACCTCGCCATCAACCTACGTCGGTGCCTGCACGGCGGAATCTCTGTGTTCCTTCATTGAAGGATCGTACAGATGCCTGTAAGAGGCGCACTTGCTCGGAAGCTTATGAAGATAGTACTAGCGCGACGCTAAGACTTATGTAGAAGATGCTGACTTCTCTTCCAGTTCCTAGTCAGAATAACTTAAACTATAACTGGCAATTCTTGAACTTAATTGACGTTTTATAGGACTTATTGGGGCAACCTGAATAATAAGGAGGTTGCAGTAATCCAGCCTAAGAAGTAACATGATAGTTTTTCTGTATCCGTCTGTGACAGGGATGTGTGCTAATTTGTGATATTGTTACATAAATGAAAAAAGCAGTCCTGGAGGTTTGCTTTATGTGGAGTTAAAAGGCATATAGTTATCGAAGGATAACTCCAAAGATTGCCTGACAGTGGTGCTGGAGCCAAGGTTATACCATCTAGAGTAACTTTATTTTTAGACAATGAGTCTCGGAGGTTTTAAAGCCAAGTACAGAACCTTTTTCTGGTTTTAATAGAAATTGCAGCTCATCCAGGTTTTTATGTCTTTAGACACTGCTTCGTATTTAAATAACTGTTACATTTCATGGGCCTTGATTGATAGATATAACTGGGTATCGTTTGCATAAAGGAAATTTAAGGAGTGTTCTAATAATGTTGCCTACGGAAGCAGTATATAAAGTGAATAGAATTGGTCAAGCAAGAACCCTTGTGGAACATGACTAAATTTAGTGTTTATGGAGGATTCAATCGTTAAACATGTACAAACTGAAGAACGATCTGATAATAGGACCTAACCAGCTTAGTGCGAGTTCTTTAATACCATTAGATGCTCAGTCTCTGTAAAAGAATATTATGGGTCAATGGTGTAAATGCAGCAACTAAGACTAATAATACAAGTACAGAGAGTCCATTGTCGGAAGCAATCAAAGGTCATTATTAACTTTAACCAGAGCTGTCCTCTGTGGCTGTATGAACTCTAAATCATGACGACATCCTCGAATACAGCTGTTGTATGTAGAAAGTCACACAACTGTTTGGCGACTACTTTCTTCAGAAATTTTGAGAGGGAGTGGAGGTTAGAAATAGGTCTGTTGTAAAACCCCTGGGTCAAGAGTGGGCTTTTTTAAGAAGGGGTTTAATTTACAGCTACTTTAAAGGACTGTGGTACATATCCTGATAATAAAGAAGATTAAAATCATATCTTAGTAAGAAGAAGTGCCAATCAAGGGGTACAACTTCTTTAAGCAGCCTAGTTGGGATGGGGACTAACCAGAGACGGTTGATGG